ATTAATACACATATTGTTTTGTGACATTGGTTGCCAACCCTGTGACATGTCAGCATTCTCCCCTTCTTGACCTTGGGTTCCCCATTTCTATTCATCCAGCATTCCTGTCTCCTCCTGCCTTCTTGTCCTTGTCCCTGGGCTGGTGTGCCCATTTAGTCTCATTTACATGGTTGAGCTACTTGTATTATTGTTTGTTTTATGAGCCTGTCTAATCTTTGGCTGAAGGGTGATTTTTAGTATATATTTAGATGAAAGAGATTTACTTTTATGCAATTTAAAATTTCTGATACTATTCTTCAAAGTGTTTGGGGGAACACAAATATCCAAATATTATTTCTCTCTAATTATACCTTTCTTTTGTAAGTTAAGAAGCTTAAAACTCTGCTTAATTTTTTTTTCTTGTGTCACTACCCTTTCATATGTACAATATAAACATCTGCAATAGTGAATTTCAAATTATCTATTTAATTATAAAATAGCCCCCTTTCCTGCTCACCTCCTCTTTCCAAATGGCAGCTGGTACATCACATAAATTATAGATTTAAAATAGATTTTTGTCTATGTATTAATGCTCATTCCAGTGAGTTTTAGAATGGCCCTGTTTTCCTTACTCCTTTAAGCCTTTAAATACACACACATCCAGCAAAGAAAACTCTTGTTAATGATTACATCTGTTTGCCATTCAGAGCATGAAATGCATCCCTACCAGCTGACACTGGTACTTATTTACTCCAAATAACCAAAGGGTGTGGAGAACCACAGAAAGAGGATGGTGTTGACAAAATTAACTAGGTGTACCTAGTAGAGTTCAAGAAGGCCAAGTATTGAGCTGTGAAGTCCTTTACTCCTGGTGCTGTTTCCTTTTTACGAACCTCATTAGTACTTCACTTTTCAAACAAGTCCTCTCATTTTCATGCAAATGAATTTATACCATCTGCTCTGTTTACTCCTAGACACATAAGAAAATGTTTAATATTCTCACTCAATGTACTGGGGGACAACATAGAGCTGCTCAAACATCTAGGCTGATCAATAATAACTTGATGTGTGTTTTAACCCAATGTAAATACTTCATGTCACACAAAAAATACAGAAAACTTGTTTTAAGTTTATCCCAAAGGGGGCATGTGGGTGTCATGGATAGTCTGTCAGGTGTGGCCCAAGGAAGTGAAACTTCAGCAGGAAGGCCAGAAAACAAATAGAATTTAGTACTCATAGGTCCCAGAGAGGAAACTACAGCATACCTCGATACAGGGCCACATAGGGGGCTGCACCAAGGAACAAGGCAACAAGTTGGAATTGTAGGAAAGGGCTTATGCATGGCATATAGAGTGAGGTTAGCTAGGTTTCACATGCTGGTCAGTTGAAAGGTTTCTAAGGCATTAGTACAGGAAAAGTGAGACATTTTTTATCAACGGAATCACATGGGATGTGTCCAGGAGTGGCAAGGAGTCACAGCCTTTGAGAGATCGTGGTACATAATAGCAACGGGGTCTGTACCACAGAAAACTGTATGGAGCATGGCTGAGAGGGCTTGTTAGAGACTGCATCTGTTGAGAGACTACGTGACAAGATAGGAATGGCCATATCAGAAAACTAGGTGAGAGGTCAACTAGGAAGTATTAATAGATGTGAGAAAGCAAATTATGTAAGGCACAAACTGACCTTATGACAAAGCTCAGTTTGAATCATGACATCATTGGGTATATAAGGGATGTACTTTAACTGTGATTCCCCAGTATGTGGTTGAAATGTCTGAAAAGTATTATATAATCAATATGCTGGGAGTACCCACACATCATGAGTGATAAAAGAAGGTGCTCTTGACTTGGCATTCTCAGGAAACATTATAATGTGCCCACAGAACACGAAGGAGGAATGGCTATCATGATGGTTTTGGACAACTAGGAACATCACCTGGCAGCATGAACACGTAGGGATGCTAGCTCCTGGAGAGAATATTATAAGAGTCTCTATTGGTCCAGTGGTTAAGAGCTACAGCTGCTAACCAAAAGGTTGGCAGTTCAAATCCACCAGCGGCTCCTTGGAAACCCTATGGGGCAGTTCTACGCTGTCCTATAGGGTCACTATGAGTAAGAATTGACTCGACTGCAAGGGGTTTGGTTTTTTTAATTAGGCACTGGGGAATCCCTGGATGGCACAAATGGTTAAGCACCCAACTACTAGCCAAAATGTTGGTAGTTCAAACCTACCCAGGACTGGTGATCTACTTCTAAAAGGTCACAGCCTTCAAAATCTTATGGAGCAGTTCTACTCTGCACATTAGTTGGATATCAAATCAAGGGCAACTAACAACATTAGGCAATTGAGTGAAGAGGGAGAGAAAATTACAGCCAAGGTAAAGCACCAGGGGCAGTGATTTCAAAATCCCAGAAGATAAGGGTAAGCCAGCTGAATGTGAAGTGAAAGGACTAACAATGTCAGGAAAGAAAACTGAAATAGGGAGAATAGCAGGATTGACAAAAATATCGAGAAAACAAGGGGGAGAAGACAATGGCATTTTTCTCAGGACTGACTATTTGAAGTCAAGATTTTTTGATACCTTGAACAGTTGCAATGAGTTAGTGGTCTCTAAATGAAATTGTTGCCGGTAGGTTTTGGCTGACACATGCTGCATGTAGCCAGCTGAAATAAGGAAGCTATGTTGATTACTCATGTAAATTAAATTTTAGGTCATAAATTTAACCATTGGAATTTCAAGGACTATATAAAATGGCAACTAGCATTATCATGATAAATACTACTTTCTTCTTTATAGTTCTACCTGCTTACCTTCAATGTCAAACATTTCCTACAGCTGCACTGAGGTAAACCATTAAACCACGGTATGAGTGGGAGGTAAAGGGTTCCCATGTAATCATCTGAAATCTGCCTCTCATTGGAAAAAAATAATTCAGTCATTAAATCACAATATTAGAAGGTAACCCCCCCAATTCATTAATTCTTAAGTTAATTGTATGGTTTTCAATTACAGGTGAATCCCGAATAGGAAATATTCTTAAAGCACAATCGATTGTGCTAAATTGTTTGGATTTTCAAGGCACTAAAACAATTAAAATATAATTTAAAAGAAAATTACAATAAAACAAGAATGCAATTTCAGATGCATAATTAAAACTAGCCCAAGCTTTTCCACACTAAATGCAACTATTGGTAAATAAGAGGGAGATGTGACAGGGTTAATATGCGGTAAAATCAGATTTATAAAGCTTTTCCTAAAATGTGGATACTACATAAAAACTGCCTAATCACTTAGCTCATTAAAATTCTCATAAATCATGTCAACCAGTGCGCAAAGGAAAGAGATCAACTACACATGTCTCAACAGAGAGCAAAATTAAAATAAACAGCTGCCCAGCAATCCTTGTCAAAGAGATTAAATGATGTACACTGAGGTTCCAGCTAGAATAGAAATAGAATAGAAAGATTCTTTGGTATTTACACAGAAGGAATGTGATTTAAGGATTTGGTTATGACAGTGATGGACATTTGATTCTCTGTGATACACTGTACAGCAGGGGAAGGGTGAGGATGGATCTAAAAACAAACAGCAGTTGGCTAGCACAATTGATGGCTCCTAATAGAGTTCTATGTACCACACAATGGCGTAGTAGGTAAAGAAGGACCAGATAAAACACTGAGACCCTAACACTGAGTTTCTAAGATTCTATGAAATAAATCTTCACAGTATAATACAGCAATATTACTGCCTCAGTATGTGTTATTGTATTCTTGTTAACATAAAGTAACTAAAAGTGTAACATCTTATTTACTCTATAATTATTATAACCTATGAAAGGAGGCATAATGTTAGAACTTGAAAAAGATGTATTTTCTCAGTTGATTTTTTCAAATAATTATATTCTGAAGTTTTCTATCCTCCCTCATGTGCTTTTATAAGGATATGTAAATATATATTACATCAATTATCAGAAAGTAAAATTTTTAAGAGGATTTTGTCATTTCTAAAGTAGAGTTATTTGCTAAACCTTCTCATAAAAAGATATGATGCTCTGTCAAAGAGATCAATAAATCTGGATAGTAGGGTCCTCTCTACAGATCATTAAATCAGTCACTGGTTCTATAGAACCTGGAATCCTAAAGACTTCTCTAATTCTCATCCTCCAAAGAAAAATCAAAGATCTCAATAAATCTCTACAGGCCTAGACTATTATTCTAAGTCTACACTTCTTGAGGAAAAAAAAAAAATTCTGTGTCTATCTGTCAAGTTCTCTGGGTAAGATTTACCCCCTCAATAAAGAAATAACTCATCTTTCAAGTGTAGTCCATCTCTAGCTTACTTTCCTCTGTATCTTCTTTAGCTACAACATTATCACAATGCTAGGTATCTAACATGGAAGAAAGATGTGGCAGTCTGCTTCCTTAAAGATTACAGCCTTGGAAACCCTATGGGGCATTTCTACTCTGTTCTATAGGGTTGCTATCAGTTGGAATCAAATTTCCTGAATTTGTATAAATTATTCAAGAAAAATGTAGTCGCTGACCTGGTAGAAACACAATTATCTCACTATGCAAACAAGATGGTGTTGAAAAAAAGTAAATGATTTGTCCAAGGTCACATGGAAATTCAGGGTCTGCCCCAAGAGAAGTGCTCTTCCTGATATATCACAATCTGCAATGCATAATTGGGGTTTTGCTCCAACTACTCTAATTAATTATTTTAAAAAAGAAAAAAAAAAAAAGCCCGTTGTCATTGAGTGGATTCTGATGCATTGCGACCCTATAGGACAGAGTAGAACTGCCCCATAGGGTTTCCAAGGAGTCACAGGTGAATTCGAACTGCTGACCTTTTGGTTCACAGTCAGGCTCTTAAGCACTGTGCCATCAGGGCTCCAATCATAGCATTGGGAAAATTATATTTTTTCTTTCCAGATAAACTCTGGTTTTTGTTTTTTTGATTGTTTGAAATAAGTCTTCCTTGAATCTCATTATAATGTCCCTTTTGTTTGAGTTTTTCTTTTTATTCACTGTTCTGTAACTAAAATTGGAACAATACAGAGAAAATTAGCATGACCCCTGCACAAGGATGACACACAAATTTGTGAAGCGCTCCTTGTTTTTGGAGCCCTGATGGCACAGTGGTTAAGAGCTTGGCTGCTAACCAAAAGGTCAGCAGTTCAAATCCACCAGCTGCTCCTTGGAAACTCTTTGGGACTGTTCTACTCTGTCCTATAGGGCCACCATGAGTCAGAATTGACTTGACAGCAATTGGTTTGATTTTTGGTATAACTGTAATTACCTCCCCCCTTTATGTTTTGCTTTTAAAAATATCCCATTCTGTCTATGGCATAGTCAGTTCTATAAACCATTTCCATAGGCTTCTTAAAGAATATCAGACAAAATATTTCTGTATTTAATTCACAGCACATGTTTCTTTATCCCAGAGGAGATATTCTTTGATATACGGAAATATACTTGCTTATAAGTTGCTATTTTTGGCCAAGAAAAGTTATACTCATAAAAGATTTCTACTTACATGTCTCATTAAAAAGAAGTGGCATGTTTAAATGAGAAACATTGAAAGATATTTCCAAAAGGAATAAATTCACATACTAGAACTGCAATCCACACCTGTTCAGAAGAAATAATGGTTGTTTTAATGAGCAAACCTGAAACCCTGCGATTCAGAAGCATGGCTGGTATGTTTTATTCATTTTCCAAATGGCTGTTTTGATGAATTATGGATGTACGTTTTCACACATGCACTAGAGAAGAAATCTCTTACTAGCATCTTTCAGCAAAAGACATATGCACCTGGCAGCCACCAGTGTATGAGCTCAGGAATCTAACAGGATGATGTGATAACAGCCTAATGCCTATGGAGTCTATTCTGCCTGGGGTAACTACACACATTGCAAAGGTCACAGTTTTCAGATACTGAGGCACAGGATAGTGTGTCTTGAAGCATTTACAAGTTTGACCTTTCAGTGTAATGTGTTTCAACATGGCGAGGCCATGGAAAGCCCAAAATATATTTCCCCTCATTTTCTAATAGCTAAGTAATTCTTAAGTAATTCCTCAGTTTCCAGTACAAACTCAGACAAAAGGTTAACTTTACTTTCTAAGGTTTGAGGCTCCATCCAAGGTAATTGAGACTGTTCCTGAATTTTTCAGAATTCCTTGGTTTTCACAAACCATTAATGTCATGCTGTGGAAAGTGGTGTAATTAACAGGCAAGATCAGCAACAACTATTAACGATCTGATTTTATTTGTGTGGCTTATTAATACTCCTTGTCCAGGGCAAATACACTGAGGGTAACTGGTGGTGCAGTAGTTAAGAGCTTGGTTGCTAACCAAACATTTGGCAGTTCAAATCCACCAGCCGCTCCTCAGAAACCCTATGGGGCAGTTCTACTCTGTCCTATACGGTCACTATGAGTTGGACTCAAAGGCAACGGGTTTGGTTTTCGTTTTTTTTTTTTTACTCGTAACGCTTGCATAGAGTATTCAGTTCATGGGCCTGGACTGGAATAAACTAGGATAGGCACAAAGACGACGTGTTCATGGTTGAGATAGAAAGTGAAAAATCCAAGTTGGAGACACATGGTGAGTATAATGTCTGAAGAGTGAGATGAAATAAACGGGAAAAATAGTCATGAAGTCAGAGATCTGAAAGATCATGAATTGAGAGAAAATGAAATAAAAGCTGGCTTATGGAAAGGAGCTGAAGGCTTTTCAAAATGATTTTGTGTGTCTGCATGCTTAAAAAAAAAAATTCAAGAACCACCAGAAGGTCACTCACAGTCAGGGAAAGGAGCTCAGGCTTCCTGTTTGCAAGGCCACTTGATTTCTGGTGCTGCTCTCCTTAGTGTCCTCCCGTATAGCTGGCATCTGCCTCATATTTGTTCTACAGAAAATTGTTTGAGCACAACACTGTCTTGGCAGGAGAAAACCCTTTTGTTCCTTCATAGACCCATCACCACCTCAGGAAGTCATCTTGAAACTCCAATAGCTCCCTGAAATCTAAACAGAAAATAACTATATCCTCCTAGTTGTATGTTTCATTTCTGTTATTCACTAGGTCTGGACATCACTGTTATGCAGGTGATGCTCCTCCACTCTTGTCCAGAATTTAGATGTGCTACTTCACCACTTAGAGTCTCCCTATTTGAAAAATTCTACTGCTGTTTAGTAGATTAATGTCTACTACACAGTGACGCCTGACATATAACAGATTTCCGGAAATGTAATTCGTTCTTCTTCTTTCCATATGACACTTCATTTTAAATGGAGAATAAAATAGGAAAGAAATGAAAAGAAATTAGAAGGGGGATGTAGAGAAAGTGAGGAATATGGAAAACATAGAATTATAGAAAATGAAGAATAAAATCTAAAAATAACAATATCAAAGAATATTATATTGTGACAAAGAAAGCATAGAAACTGAAGAAAGACTAATAAAGACATAAGCAAATAAAAATATGTTTTATCCTTTCTTGAAACTACAAAGGAAAGAAAAATGGCAAGATCTAAGGCTTTTCTTGCATAGGGAACCTTTGGGGAAATGATTTATAATATATCTTATACAGTAAAACAAAGCCTCATCTGAAGATATTTCTACCAAAATAAATATGTTTGAGAAAACCTCTGAGTGTTTCTCACAGAAGGGAAATAGGGCAAAAGTTGAGACAGGAAAAGTATTCAAATACCAACTCCATGACAAAAATAAACTTCGATATTCATGGGCTTGCAGTTGCAGGGAAGTTCTACATACTGCATAATTGAAGAGATAAAAAATAATATATAGAATTGTACAGGAATGAAATCTTTGTAGAAACCCCACATAATGAAGATAAAGATGCTATTCATAAGCATCCAGAAGAAAACTACAACCTAGCCTTTGTGGATTTTGAGGTCCAAGGTCCAGTCCCATTGATACCTGCTCCTTACTTCCCTCTTATTAATCACAAATCAATAATTCAACACTGCTCATGAAAATTCTGGCTGGAACTGTCTGCTGCCACTTCCCCTTAGTAGGGCATTAACAATGGACATTAAATCCCCAAATTTTGATTCCCTCACCACACCTCAGAAGCATGAATACTAAGGAAGTTTCTTTAATTAAAGCCTCATTAATAAACAGTGCCTTCACTGTAAAGTGGCTTAGAAGGAGAAAATGGTTAGTTTTCCCCAAACCCCGAAAAGCAAAAGTAGGAGGTGTGGCTATGGAGAACACTGAAATGGTAATGAGGAGGAGATTTTGAATATAATGGAAAGCGATGTATCCAGTGAACACAATGGAGAATTATAATGACAGCACTGATTGAGTCCTTTTGATGTGCAAAGTATTAGGAAAAGTCACTCTACTAATATGAAGTTGAGTTAGGATTTTAACAAAGCCTATGATTAAAACATCTAGTTTCCAAATAATAAGTGGAATATTCCACTAAATATATTTTTTTCTCAAAGTCCCTGAAAAGTGTAGCTTTTAATAATGCTGCAGATTAGGTCCAGGTGTGTTCCATGTGAGTCTCATTTTTCTTGAACAGGACAACTAAGGGAATTTCTTTTCTTAGGGATAACAGAAATTCAAGAGTGCATATAAACACCACATAATTCTTTTTAAGGCCTATGTTTGAAACTACCAGTCACTTCTGTCCATATTTTAAGTTACATGGCTAAGCCTATCATTAAGGCTGAAGAATATTGTTAAAAAGAAAGGTAAAGAATTGGGTACCATAATGCAATCAACTATATCAATAATGTAATCAATAACCAAATAGGTGTCAGGTGCTGACACTGAGAACACAGGAGTGAATAGAATTAAGACCATTTCCTCTTGGAGCTTACATCCTTTTGGAAGATAAAGATAATAAACCAATAAATACATAATATAAAAGGTATCGATAAGAACACTGGAAAATAACAACAAAAAAAGAAAGTAGGTTAAGGATACGGAAGCAATAAACATTACAGAGTTCTCTTTAAACAGATGCTAGCAAACTATGGCCTGAAAGCCAAATCTGGCCCACTGATTGATTTTGTAAATAAAGTTTTATTGGAACCCAGGCAACCTGACTGTTTAAATCCATGCAGAAATGATTGGCAAGTTCTCAATAAGATTCTAACTTCTGCCCCCAAACCAAGAATATGTTGTAACCATCATACAATCAGCATCAAAATTCAAATCAGAACTTTCACTAAAGCATTCATTGTCATTGCTCTTGGAAACACCCAAGTTTGTGGCCCCATGTCAGCATAAGGACAACTGTGCTGGCCTTGTTTTAAGTTCATAGTTTCACACTGGAACGACCTATAATAGAATTATATTTCTTCTATGATGTGACAAGGAGAGAAGAGCAAAAGGGAGGTTGACCTACTGAGAAATTGATTGATTTTCTTATTTGTTTTGCACCTGTATGACATGTTGACAATTGCCTTTTACTGACAACTGAGAAAAGGTTAACTTAGCAACATTTGACCCAGAAGCCATTTATCCAAATGTCAGCATGTGAACACATTTCCAAACAGTTAGATAGAATGCTACTTCAACTTTGAAGGCTTTACCACTTTGCTACCTTCCATAGTTAAACAGAGCCCCACCTATCATGTATAGTTATGTCATGTGCAATAATCAACAGAAATGCATATCTTCCATTGGAATTCAGAATGTCTGAATTCCCCTTATGTGTATTTAATCCAGAAAAAAAAAATGAAGTGTTGTTCATGCCTTTAAATTACTTTAAAAAAAGAAAGAAAAGTGAAGAAAGGATTGACACTTCTTTCCTCTTCTTGTTCTTCTTTTTCTTGTCATGGGAATTTATGTTTTCCCAAATAAGTCAGAAGATAATAAATACTGAGAAAAATTAATCATGGTGTACTGTCATTAAATAAAAGGCAACTAGTTAAAGTACTTATTTAATTTTCCAGTCTCATCTCTCAATGCTAGTTTTTAATACAATCTGCATTCCGGCAAAATTTAATTTATTTGTGTTTCTATAGCAGTTTTATCCTTTCCTTCTCTGTGCCCTTTATTTTCCCCTCCCTAAAATAAATATATTTATGCTGTTCCAAGCATGCCCTCATCCAACTCATCCTTCAAGATCCAGTCTGAGAACCC